AAACCACTTGCTATGGGGGCACTGGTACATGCTCACTCCTGAGCCCCACTCTATGCATCCATAAGATACATAGAGCCCTGGCTCAGTACTGCCCCCGTTCTCTCCTCCTTGGCTTACTGTGTGTGATTGACAACAGTGGGAGCCAATGGCTTCTGCTGCTGTCTCAGCCAAGGAGGAGAGAGAGACCTGGGACAAATGAGGCTCCAGGTTCCAGTGCACATCGCTGGATTGATAGGCTGCTCAGATAAGTATTGAGGGGGAACCTGTGGGGGGAACAGCAAACAGAAGATTTTTTTACCTTCATGCATATAATGCATGAAGGTAAGAAACCTTCAGCCTTTACATCCACTTTAATGGACTGTCAGGATCAGATAAAAGGACGTTAAAGCCTCACTTCTAAGGTTGAGTTTGACATTCTTCAAAACCCCAGGTCCCAATTTCAGTGTGCTCCTATCTTTACTCCAGGGACATATGTTACAAATAGAAGTAATTTTTTCAAGCTCGCCAATACCATTCACTAATATCCCTAATTTTTTAAATAAAACTTTGTCAGCGCATTACAAGAAAATAGGAACAGCCTATAAAGCAGTTCACAGCATTTGCCCCTGGTCAGTGACACCAATATTTAGATGGAATGGATAACTCAACTCCCTTTGTATAAAAAGGGTGGGTGCACAGCAACTACAATGTCAATGTGTGTTGGAGCTGTTGGGGACATCTGGCAATTCTGTGAAGGAAGACATACAGTTTTTCTATTTTTTAATATTTCTATTTGTTTTTTGTTTTGTTTTTTTTAATTTGGGCATTGGTACATATCCCTTGTGCCCAGCTTCCCATTCTTTTTGTTTCATAATAGATTGCTTATTATCCCCACAAATTACCAGAATTGAAAAACAAGATTTCCCCCTTCTAGACTTCAAAAGAAGATTTGTGAAACTGATTGTTATACTCCTCTGTATTTACATGCATATTCAACATGGCACTGCAAAAGAAAATATTAATATGAAACTTTAAAGTGATTGTAAAGAATAATTAAATCAAAAACAACACTGGCGTTCAACACATGTTCCCACTATTCGGGAATGGTTTGCTGGGATCAATAAAACTGAGGAAATGGAGGAATTGATTTCTGTAGCAAAAGAACATCCTGAGAGATTCAGGAAGACTTGGGCTTGTTGGAGCCATTTCAAAACCACCACTACCTATCGCCGCCTAGTTCATGCAAAACCTATACCCCCTGACTGAATGGTTAGACACTATGCTGTTTTAGGGAATTTTTTGAGATTCTTGACCTACGTGTTACCCCTTTGACTGACCCTGCATGTATTGCATCCTAAACTACAAGACTATATTTTTTGGCTCATACCTAATGATGTGAATTATTTTATCCACAAGTGTCCACCTTAACACCCCCTTTACTCCCTACCCATTCCCCCGTTCCCCCCCCTTTTTTTTTCTTTTCTCTTCTCTTTTTCTCCTCTCACCCCCCCCCCCCCCCCCCCCCCCCCCCCACTACCCCCCCACTCCTCACTCTACATTTCTATCTCTTTCTCTAGCTATTCACCTTTCTGACTTTTCTTTATCTTAAGCTTTTTTATATGCCTTCATTATTCATATATTCCCAACAAATAGGGTATTTCATTTCGCATACAGGTGTACCTGATATCACATGGCTTAAACGCCCCCAAAATGGACACACAAATTTTGTCATATAAATCATCCTATGCTAGCATTACCCAACACTTAACATTCGTGCAACATAAGGGCTCACCAGTACACAGGTCAGTAATCACTTTACCTATTTCGAGTTATATACTATACTCTTTGTATCTACTGGTTTGCCATATACATTTGCAATAAGGACATACTTCAACCAGATGTGTACTTTTGTTTAAACCCATGGCCCGTCTGCAAAACGGGATGCTACATGATGTGTCTATGTTCAGACTGCGATAAATATTTGTATGTACAATGCTATACCTTACTTTTTATAATAAAAATATTTTTGGAAGAAAAAAAACAAAAAAAACAAACATGCTATAGTTACCTGCTCTATGCAATACATTGCATAGTGCAGCCCTGAAACTACTCTTGGCTCAGCAAAGCCAGTGAGAACAGGAAGTGAGAGGAGAGAGCCGGTACAGACGGGCACAGCACCGGATCAAGTGAGGGCTCAGGTAAGTATAAGAGGGGTAAGGGGGCATACTGCTGCAAACATTTTTTACCGTAATGCAAGGAATGCATTAAAGTAAAAAAAAAAATGTTTAGGCTTTAGAACCACTCAGTATCCAAATCAGATTAAAATTTACTGTAATCATGTAAAATGAAATGTTTGATTTGTTGCTATGGGTTACTGCGCCATTTTCATAATGGTTACTTTTTGCTCTGTGATTTTCAAATGAAACACACAATATAACGTGAATAGATGAATATTCTTCTGATCATTTAAATTTCCACAGGCATGTGGTGATATTGCAGAGCAGGTTATAATATGGTTGTTGTGGTAGATAGTTCCTACATACACTTTCCTAAATGAGGCTCATTGGTCTTCATTTAAATTATTATATATTATGTTGTTAAAAAATTATAACACAACCCTTGTAGGGAAGGTTTGTGTCTTTGCTGGAGAGATTTTTACCTTCCTCTTCAATGAATCAGTTCAGCTTATTCTAATTAGTTTGTCAGTAGCATGCATTATCACAAACTGTAAAATCTAGCCTTTATTTTTCTCTTTAGTACCCTTTTAAGAATTTTGAACATAAGAGATATGTCCTAATAAACTTCAGTTTCTACAATACATCTCTTACATCCAGCTCCTGCCCTCCTGCAGCCACTTTACTACTGTTATCACTGGCAGTTACCAGCTGAGAGCAAAATGAGAGCAGGGAATTGCTTTGTATACTAACACAGTAGGCGCAGCTGTCAAAATGCAGCCACTCCTGTGTAAAATGACATTTGCAGATAGTCAGTGTCATTGAATAAATACCATTAATCAATGCATTGCTTCATTGTATTTACTATTTCATTCATATTTAGATAAACAATTGAGTACTGTCCTTGATACTTTTTTTATTTGCACTAACATACAATTTTGAGGACAAGCTTTCGGGGAATGTCCCCTTCTTCAGGTCTAAGCAGTACTGCTTAGTAACAAAGATTTAGCAGAATGTCAGAAGAGATGTAGGGGATGGGAAAAAAAAAAAAACAGAGATAAGACACAGCAAAAGCAAAGTCTGGGGGGGGGGGGGGGGAGACAACACTAGCAGAGGCAGTCATGCTTGAGCTGATAGTCATAAAAATGTGCAAAATGTAAAAAAAAAAAACCACTCTGCTTTCATTTGCAAGTAACTTTGCCATGTTTCGTACCAGAAGCAAATTATAGAATAATGTAATACTTTAGTATACTTTTTATTTACAGTAAAATTACTTTTTAACACTGGTCAAAAAAGAAAATATTTTTTCAATTATCTTTTTTTTTTTGTAGATTTTTTTATCTATTTTTGGAAAACAGTGGAGAAGATTTACTAAAACTGGTACACTCAGAATACAGTGCAGCTGTACATTGTAGCCAATCAACTTCTAATTTCATCTTGTACAATTAGGCTTTGACAATAAAACCTGGAAGCTGATTGGTTTCTATACAGAGCTGCACCAGATTTTGCACGCTCCAGTGTTAGTAAATAAACCCCAGTATTGCCAATCAGAAAAACCTAGTCCCCCCCCCCCCCCCCCCCCCCCGCCATCCTCTAAGAAAACAAAGTATGTCTCATGTTGTTACCTTAAGGATTGACAAAGTTGGTGCCAAATAAAGAGGCCCATGATGGAAATTTAAAACATTGTTCTGGTTCATAGGGAGTGTACAGGTATGAGAGATGAGTCAGGTAAAACAATTTTAAGTCTTCCTGTTATGTAAGTATCTCCAAGATATTAGCTTCCATTTATTATTTGCACTGTGTTTTACTAATCCTGTGCGGGTAGGGTGACAGGAAATCCACGTCAACAAATGTCCCTTATTTTCCCCTTTTTAAAAACAGTGCTGTGAGTTCTCTGTTCTGCTTGAGGTTAATTGAGGTATGGAGGAATGGAATCCCCCTCTCTTTATTTGATATCTGCCTCTTGCTATTCATTCAGTAATAAACAATGGCAGAGCATTAGATTCTTTTGTGATAAAAAAAAAAAAACATACATAACAATTAAAGTACTGTATATCTATACCCAGTAACAAAAAAATAATAAATTATAGCTTACATGCCCTTACATGTGGTGGAGGCATTATTCTTTTTTTTAACAATAAGTACATTTTTGGAAAGTACAGAAAATACCTGTTGTTCCTGTTGGAAATCAATAGTCCTTGTAACTTCCTGTATATTGAACTGAAGTCTCAAACAGTTTATGCAGTTTTCTCAGCTATCTTCTGTAAGCACAAAAGCAACACCCTTGTATGTGATAAAGGTGATGGTGGTGGGGAGTATTGGTAATCAAAATTTTGGAAAGCAGGCTTAGATACAGAACAGTAAGTGAGCATTGTAATCTTAGGACATTGGTTGAGAATAAAGGACATGTTTATATATATATATATATATATATATATATATATATATATACACTGTATTGGCCAAAAGTATTTGGACACCTGCCTTCATACGCATATGGACTTTAATGGCATCCCAGTTTTAGTCCGTAGGGTTTGATATTGAGTTGGAACACACTTTGCAGCTATAGCTGTTTCAACTCTTCTGGGAAGGCTTTCCACAAGGTTTAGGGAGTGTGTCTATGGGAATGTCTGACCATTCTTCCAGAAGCGCATTTGTGAGGTCAGGCACTGATGTCGGACAAGAAGGCCTGGCTCCCAGTCTCCGCTCTAACTCATCCAAAAGGTGTTCTATCGGGTTGAGGTCAGGACTCTGTGCAGGCCAGTTAAGTTCCTCCACTCCAAACTCACTCATCCATGTCTTTATGGACCTTTCTTTATGCACTGGTGTGCAATCATGTTGGAACAGGAAGGGGCCAGCCCCAAACTGTTCCCACAAAGTTGGGAGCATGAAATTGTGCAAAGCAGTTCTCTTCACTGAAACTAAGGGGGCCAAGCCTAACCCCTGAAAAACAGCTTCACACCATAAGTGCTGTTCTCCTGGCAACCACCAAACCCAGACATGTCCTTCGGATTGCCAGAAAAAGGAGCATGATTTGTCACTCCAGAGAACACGTCTCCACTGCTCGAGAGTACAGTGGTAGTGTGCTTTATGCCACTGTATCCAACGCTTTGCACTGCATTTGGTGATATAAGGCTTGGATGCAGCTGCTCGGCCAGGTAAACCCATTCCATAAAGCTTTCTGCGCACTGTTGTTGTGATAATCTGAAGACCACATGAAGTTTTGAGGTCTTTAGCTATTGACTCTGCAGGCAGTTGGCGACTTGTGCACACGTGGTGTACCATTTCGTGGCTGAGTTTCTGTTGTTCCCAGTTGCATCCACTTTGTTATAATACCACTAACAGTTGACCGTGGAATATTTAGTAGCAAGGAAATTTCACGCGTGGACCTATTGCACAGGTGGCAACCTATTATGGTACCACGTTTGAATTCACTGAGCTCCTGAGAGAGATCCATTCTTTCACAAATGCTTATAGAATCAGTCTGCATGCCTAGGTGTTTGATTTTATACACCTGTGGCCATGAAGGTGTTGGAAACACCTGCTTTCAATGATTTCGAGGGCTGTCCCAATACATTTGGCAATATAGTGAGTATGTACAGGTGAAACTCAAAAAATTAGAATATCGTGCAAAAGTTCATTTATTTCAGTAATGCAATTTAAAAGGTGAAACTAAATATATGAGATAGACTCATTACATGCAAAGCAAGATAGTTCAAGCCGTGATTTGTCATAATTGTGATGATTATGGCTTACAGCTCATGAAAACCCCAAATCCACAATCTCAGAAAATTAGAATATTACATGCAATCAATAAAACAAGGATTGTACATAGAACAATATCAGACCTCTGAAAAGTATAAGCATGCATATGTACTCAGTACTTGGTTTGGGCCCCTTTTGCAGCAATTACTGCCTCAGTGCGGTGTGGCTTGGGAGCTATCAGCCTGTGGCACTGCTAAGGTGTTATGGAAGACCAGGATGCTTCAATAGCGGCCTTCAGCTCTTCTGCATAGTTCAGTCTCATGTCTCTCATCTTTCTCTTGGCAATGCCCCATAGATTCTCTTTGGGGTTCAGGTCAGGCGAGTTTTCTGGCCAATCAAGCACAGTAATCCCACGGTCATTGAACCAGGTTTCTGTGCTTTTGGCAGTGTGGGCAGGTGCCAAGTCCTGCTGGAAATGAAGTCAGCATCCCCATAAAGCTTGTCTATGGAAGGAAGCATGAAGTGCTCCAAAATCTCCTGGTAGATGGATGCGTTGACCCTGGACTTAATGAAGCACGGTGGACCAACACCAGCAGATGATATGGCTCCCCAAATCAACACGGACTGTGGAAACTTCACACTGGACTTCAAGCATCTTGCAGTGTGTGTGCCTCTCCATTCTTCCTCCATACTCTGGGTCCTTGGATTTTCAAATGAGATGCAAAAGTTGCTCTCATCAGAAAAGAGGACTTTGGACCACTGAGCAACAGACCAGGTCTGTTTTTTTTTTTTTTAAGCCCCGGTAAGACGCTTCTGATGTTTGTTGTTCAGGAGCGGCTTGACAAGAGGAATACGACATTTGGAGCCCATGTCCAGGATCAGTCTTTGTGTGGTGGCTCTTGATGCACTGACTCCAGCCTCAGTCCACTCCTTGTGAAAGTCCCCAACACTTTTGAATGGCCTTTTCCTGACAATCCTCTCCAGCCTGCGGTCATCCCTGCTGCTTGTGCACCTTTTTCTTCCACACTTTTCCCTTCCACATAACTTTCTATTAATGTGCTTTGATACAGCACTTTGGGAACATCCAATGTCTTTTGCAATTACCTTTTGAGGCTTTCCCTCCTTATGGAGGGTGTCAATGATGGTTTTCTGCACAACTGTCAGGTCAGCAGTTTCCCATGATTGTGATTCCTACTGAACCAGACTGAGAGACCATTTAAAGGCTCAGGAACCCTTTGCAGGTGTTATGACTTAATTAGCTGATTAGAGTGGGACACTTTGAGCCTAGAATATTGCACCTTTTCACAATATTTTAATTTTCTGAGATTGGGGATTTGGGGTTTTCATGAGCTGTAAGCCATAATCCTCACAATTATGACAAATCACAGCTTGAACTATCTTGCTTTGCATGTAATGAGTCTATCTCATAGTTTTAAGTTGCATTACTGAAATAAATGAACTTTTGCACGATATTCTAATTTTTGGAGTTTCACCTGTATATACAGTGGGGCAAAAAGTATTTAGTCAGCCACCAATTGTGCAAGTTCTCCCACTTAAAAAGATGAGAGAGGCCTGTAATTGGCATCACAGGTAGACCTCAACTATGAGAGACAAAATGAAAAAAAATCCAGACAATCACATTGGCTGATTTGGAAAGAATTTCATCTCTATTCATCTCTACTAAGGGCCAGTCTTGTTACCATACGGAAGGGAGGATTACCCATGCTGACCAGACCTTTGATGAGGAATTCTTATACAATGCTCATATCCATTTAATTTCTGGTGAGTGCGCATTTCTATCATTTTCCATGGAGCACCACCACTGATGACTAGATACTACCTGGCACATCTCTATAGACTTTATAGATTTTTTATATGAATCCTCATTTATTTCATTTTATATGGGAACTTATTCATTAATTTTAGCGCTGCACTGTTTTATACTACTTGATTTACTGCATATATTGGTTGCTTTGAGTGCATAGCTGCTTCTTGGATTAGCGCTCACTATATATACTATTTTCCTGTTTATATATATATATATATATATATATATATATAATTTTAAATTTTTGTGTTTAGGTAGGTTTAAAGTGATATTCAACCTCAAATAAAAACAAATGATATATTACAGCTTACAAATCCTTAAATGTGATGGCTGAATTGGTTTTCTTTTTTGGCTTGTAATCCTTTATTTTCACCTGGTGATCCAGCAGGTAGCACACTTCCTGCATTTTCCATTATGTTTTGCATTTTGCAGAAATGCACAGCAGTCCATTTAACATGATTTCCTATGAGACATGTTCACATTGCCGTGTTTTCACCGAGTGCATTTTTTGGAAAGGGTCAAGGACTTTTTCAAATGCAAAATGTTGCATTTTTGGTTCAATAGACTTCAATGGAGACACTGCAGAAATGCATGTAGTGTCTTTTTGATGTGTTTTTTATGCATTTTTGTTACTTTTTTTTTGCATTTTGCGTTTTAATTGCCCAGCAATAAGTTGGGAAAAAAAAGCAAAACATATTAAAAAATGCATCAAAAACGCATGTGCAAAAATGTAAAAACACACCGTAAAAAAGCACTGCAGCAGTGGATCAAATGCAAACTGCATAGGTGTGAACTTAGCCTTAGGGTGTCTCCAGTGTGGATGGAAGGGCAAAGGAGATACCTTTGGACAGCAGCATTGTCTATCTGAAGAGAGGGTAGTGTTAGATATACTAGCAATTTTAGATGGACTTGACTAACAAATTGAAACTAAACTCCAGCTAACACTTTAGAAGCGGTTAGAGCAACATTTTTTCTTCCTTTTGGAATAAAGGCTTGACATATATAAATAAAAGCTGATCAGGCTCCATGCACACTAGGCATTTTGATAACGCTGGTAACGTTAGCTGTGTAAAGTCACGTTAAAAACTTGAGTTTTTTGGCTTTTTTTAGTGTCTTTGCATTAGCGTTTTGCCGCGTTTTGCCTTGTTTTTCCACGTTTGCAGTTTTTAGCTTTTTTTTTTTTTTTTCCAAAAAAAACATGTTTTTTGGTAAAAAAAAGTCCAAAAACACCGGTGTACGGTGTTTTACCGCGTGTTGTCGCATCTTTCAGCGTTGGAGCTTTTTGCAGCTAAAAAACTCCTCTAGAAACCCACTAGTCCAGCCAAAAAAGTCCCTGCCAAAAAACGTTGATACAGTCTATGTGTGCATGGACACATAGGATAACATGCTGGGGAGTTTACTGGCTGTAGAAAAAAAAACGTCAAAAGCCAAAAACAGCCGCTGTAAAAACATCAAGTGTGCATGAGGACTATTTGTAAACACCTCTGTCAGTGGTAAAAGGTTTGTCTCAACCTTCTAACTGACACGTTGTGTGAAAAGCTTGGACTGTTTAAGACAGTTTAAGGGAAATGTACATATAAATATGCAACAGGAGAAGCTATACTTTCATTAAGGAAAGTGAAAAATAATTACCAGCTTGTTGTTGTCTTCTGTCTTGCCTTGGGAGCTGTCATGCAGATCAGTAGAAACAATGAAGATATCACAGAGGACAGATCCTCCTAGCACCACCAGTTCCCTCCTCCCCTCCTTTGCATGTGTTCCCATATATCTCTAGACAGATCACACAGTTTCTGAGGTATTTTATTTAGTCTGTATTTAACTTCCTGGTATGTCTACATTAGTTCAGAAGCATTCTTAATAAAATAAAGCTAAGGGACAATTTATGGAATGTAGGCAGACAACCTGATACCAGTAAGTCATTCTGTACTGACAATCTGCCTTTAGGTTTTATAAATGTGGGCAAAGTCTGCCTGTTTGTACTTTCTCGTCATGTTACCTCTGATTCAAAATTAACTGCTTTAAGTCTGCCCTGTAGCAGTAATACTGCTACAGGGCGGACTCTCTGCACAAAATCACGTATATATACGTGATTCGCGCTCTGCCCGCCAACCTGCCAGTGCCGTGATTCGGTGCCTGACCGATCATTCAGCAGATTCAGACCAGTGATGTTCGGCCTGGATCTGCTCCCTGGCCTACCACAGATCTTCCAGTACCTGTGTTTACATTTACACAGGTACAGGAAATTATGCAATCGTCTCTCCCTGGGCACATTCCGTCCCAGAGAGAAGAAAGCAGATCCACATGAGTAAAAGCAGCACACAATTACAGTAAAATCACACTTAGGGCACATTTAACCCCCTGATCGCCCCCTAGTTAACCCCTTCACTGCCCTGTCACCAGTGTCATTAGTGCAGTGTACAGATTTTATTACTGATCACTGTATTAGTGTCACTGGCAACTTCAGATAGCGTTAGCGCCAGTTAGTGTCCCTTCCAGATAGCGTCAGATTGTCCGCCACTACATCAGTCATTACATTTAACTCCTTGATTGCTAGGAACACGCTCACATACACAATAAACCTCCATTGCTAGTATAGTGTCTGAACGGATCAATATCTTTGATCAGATCAACACTATACCAGCACTCACATTAGTATAGCATCCCCAAAAACGCAGGGTTAGCGGGATCCCCGGCCAGCTCCTGCATTTAGCCCTTACACTTAACGGGGGGTTAAGTCAACTGGTCAAATTCAGGGTCACCCTGAGGACGACAGAGTGTATTGTCGCTGAAATGCATAAATCGCATTATATTCTCATATGATGCCTGGCCATGGCAGAGGAGAACACAGGCATATGATAAATCGGGTCTTCCATGAAAAACAGCTCCAAAAAATCAAGGGGAGTAGTTAAATTTGCTGTTTCCAC